CATTTAAACTGATTTAAAGAGTCAGGGAACTATTAGCCTTTGATGACCGGTGGACTTCAACTCCCAGAATTCAACTCCCAGAATTCCTCAGCCAGCGTGAGGGAACTAGGACTCCTTTATGATTTGTGGACTTCAACTCCCAGAATTCCTCAGCCAGCATGCCTGGCTGAGGAATTCTGGGAGTTGAAGTCCACAAGTCATCAAAGGGCCAACTTTGAAGACCCCTGCCCTAGATCATTTCAGACAAATATGTAATAAGAAGAGAGCTGGAAGGGACCTTGGAGGTCTTCTAGTCCAACTCCCTGCTCAAGCAGGAGACCTTAGACCAGTGGTTCTCAACCTGTGGGTCGGGACCCCATTTGGGGTCGAACGACCATTTCACGGGGGTAGCCCCAAACAAGGCTGTCTGCCATTTTTTCCCCCTTTTCTTTGGCCATGCCCCTGGCACCCGGTGATGTATAAGTGGTTGGGGGTCACCACAACATGGGGAACTGTATTATGGGGTCGCGGCATTAGAAAGGTTGAGAACCACTGCCTTAGACCATTCCAGACAAATCATCCAGCCTCTTCTTAAAAATCTCCAGTGATGGAGCGCCCACGATTTCTGGTGGCCAGCTGTTCCACTGGTGAATTGTCCTCACTGTTAGGAAGTTTCTCCTTAATTCCAGGTTGCTTCTCTCCTTGATTAGTTTCCATCCATTGTTACTTGTCCTGCCTTCCATGCTGTGGGAAGAATCCAGAGAAAGAAATATTTTTGGGAAATATGAAAAAGGCAGAATGTTGTATTGCCCCAAAGGATTTTAAAGGCAGAAACCAACCCCCCCCCCCCCAAGTCTCTCTGCCCCAAACAGAAACCAGCTCTGCAGAAATGCGGATGTCATAATCTTGTCAGAAAGATGGGAGCCAGGAAGCGGATGGGATTAGAAAGACAAAGACTCCTAGAATCAACAATCCCTCAAACCAAAAAATCCAACACAGGACAGTCTCAGCCACAGCCCCAGGGAAGCAGGATATGACCTTTGGGACACAATAGGATTTACCCACCACCATCAGAATACCAGAAAGGCACACTTAGACTCAGGTCAAAGTCCATGCCACAAGAACAACTCCAAACAAAAGCCCAAGAAGGTATAAAATCCCACTACTCCCTGCTACACGTGATCGGTTTCTTCCAGAGCCATCTTGCTTGAGCAGGGGGCTGGACTAGAAGACCTCCAAGGTCCCTTCCAGCTCTATTCTATTCTGAATTCTGAATTCTGTCTGGCTGTCCTCTTCAATATACTGCAACCTTCTTTCTAAAGCAGTCTCCATTTTGTTTATTCCCAGCTTGGACTGGACCCCGATGAAGATTTTTCTTTCAACAGTGCTTTGGAAAATAAGTTGACCCCCCCCCTCAAATACTGGAAGACTGCTATCATGTCCCCCCCCCCCCAATCCTTCTTTTTCTCTGGACTGGCCATTCCCAAATCCTGCAACCTTTTTTCCTATGTTTTGGTCTCCAGGCCTTTGATCATCTTAGTTGCTCTTCTTTCAACTTTTTCCAAAGTTTGGGCCTCTCTTTCATCATGGGGTGACCAAAGCTGGATGCAGGATTCCAGGTGTGGCCTTACTAAAGGCTTTATAAAGCGGGATTAATACTTTGCGTGATTTTGATTCCGTGCCTCTGTTTATACAGCCAAGGATTATATTAGCTTTTTTGGCTGCTGCCGCACACGGCTGGCTCACATTTAAGTGCAGAGGGGAAGAAATTAATGGGGATACACACAAGGGTTTCAAGTGAGAGAGAGGAGGACACATACCGAAAATGGACATACAGGGAGTCCTCGACTTACGAAAATGCATTTAGTGACCATTTGAAGGCAGTGCAGCATGGAAAAAAGTTTTCATTCCTAAGCGTAGTGGTTATTAAATGAGTTGCAGCTGTTTTTATGACTCTTTTTGCCCCGGTCGTTAAGGAAATCCCTACAACATGCGGTACCAAGCTGACATGCACTTAGAGTGAAGAAGATTCTGTACAGATGGTCCTTGACATATGACAATTGGTTTAGTGGCTGTTCAAACTTACAACGGTAGCGCAAAAAAGTTTTCATTGATAAGCAAGGCACTTAAAAGAACCATATCTGATTTAATGACTATTTAATGTTTATTGTGTTTTCTTTAATTCACACCAGCCTGAACTGCAATTAGGTGAAAAAACATTCTATATAGGGTGTCCTTGACCTAGTCCAGGGGTAGGCAACCTTGGCTCTTTTATGACTCGTGGACTTCAACTCCCAGAATTCCTGAGCCAGCATGGGGGAACTATGGCTCCCTTGATGACTTGTGAACTTCAACTCCCAGAATTCCTCAGCCAGCGTAAGGGAACTATGGCCTCCTTTATGACTTGTGGACCAACTCCCAGAATTCCTCAGCCAGCATGGGGGAACTATGGCCCCTTCATGACTCGTGGCCTTCAACTCCCAGAATTCCTCAGCCAGCATGGCTCAGCTTGGAAACCTCTGCCTTTCCCCTCAGCATGGCTGGTTCAGGAATTCTGGCAGTTGAAATCCGTGAGTCATAAAAGTGCCACGGTCGTAAAGTGGATCACTGTAACCACTAAGTGAATCACACAGTCACTAAGCAAGTCCCCACTGTCGGAAGTCATCCGGGAAGGTCGCAAATTGTGATCACGTGACCCCCCGGTATGCTGCGACTGTCGTAAACATAGGCCGCTGGAATTTTCATGACGGCATTACGGGGATGCTGTGACGGTCGTAGGGGTGAGGACCAGTCACTTTTTTTCAGGACTGAGGTATCTTCCAACGGTCGTTAAATGAACGGACGTCAGCCGAGGACTTCCTGCGAAGGAAGAGTTTGTGTGGGATGCTTCTGGAACCCTGGGAGGTAAAAAACAGCCCAAGACTTGCAGAGGAGGCGGTGACAGATAAATTCCTGATGCAAATGGGTGGCAAGACTGGAAGTGATCCCACGCTTGCTTGTCAAAAGTGGCTCTTGCGACAACACAGGTTGTGCAATTGTCTCCCCGTTACACGCAGCTTGGTGAGCTGAGCCCGGCTGCAGCAAAGAATGTTGGAATTGTATAATGCACCTCACAAGGTTTTTAAGAAGAGGTGTTTTTTCTCAATCTTGGCCACTTTAAAGAGTTGTGGACTTCAACTCCCAGAATTCCCCAGATAGAACAGAAATAAGAATCGAATCGAATCGAATCGAATAGAAATACAGAAATACAGAAATACAGAATAGAATAGAATAGAATAGAATAGAATAGAATAGAATAGAATAGAATAGAATAGAATTACAGAATAGAATAGAATAATAAATTATGGAACAGAATAGAATAGAATAGAATAGAATAGAATAGAATAGAATAGAATTACAGAATAGAATAGAATAATAAATTATGGAATAGAATAGAATAGAATAGAATTACAGAATAGAATAGAATAATAAACTATGGAATAGAATAGAATAGAATAGAATAGAATAGAATAGAATCAGATATACAGAATAGAATGGAATGGAATGGAATAGAATAGAATAGAATAGAAATAAGAATAGAATAATAAAATATAGAATAGAGTAGAGTAGAGTAGAGTAGAATAGAATAGAATAGAATAGAATCAGATATACAGAATAGAATGGAATGGAATGGAATGGAATAGAATAGAATAGAAATAAGAATAGAATAGAATAATAAAATATAGAATAGAGTAGAGTAGAATAGAATAGAATAGAATAGAATAGAATAGAATAGAATAGAATAGAATAGAATCAGATATACAGAATAGAATGGAATGGAATGGAATGGAATGGAATAGAATAGAATAGAATAGAATAGAATAGAATTACAGAATAGAATAGAATAATAAATTATGGAATAGAATAGAATAGAATAGAATAGAATAGAATCAGATATACAGAATAGAATGGAATGGAATGGAATAGAATAGAATAGAAATAAGAATAGAATAGAATAATAAAATATAGAATAGAGTAGAGTAGAATAGAATAGAATAGAATAGAATAGAATAGAATCAGATATACAGAATAGAATGGAATGGAATGGAATAGAATAGAATAGAATAGAATAGAATAGAATAGAAATAAGAATAGAATAGAATAGAATAATCAAATATAGAATAGAGTAGAGTAGAGTAGAATAGAATAGAATAGAATCAGATATACAGAATAGAATGGAATGGAATGGAATGGAATAGAATAGAAATAAGAATAGAATAATAAAATATAGAATAGAATAGAATAGAATAGAATAGAATAGAATAGAATAGAATAGAATAGAACAGAACAGAATAGAATAGTTGGGATAGACCTTTGAGGTCTTCTAGTCCAACCCCTGGCTCAGGCAAGAAACCCTATGCCATTGTGGCAAGTCGTTCCACTGGTTAATTGTCCTCACTGTCAGGAAATTTCTCCTTAGTTCTAGGTTGCTTCTCTCCTGGGTTGGTCTGCACAGTGTCACTTCTGAATATCCACATGCAGGTTATCCATGCTGTCCCTCAGTTTGAATCTTCATGCAGTTTCTGCTTTCTGCAAATGATTGCTGTAATCCTTGCGTACATTTAAAATAACACCCTTGCCCTAAAAAGATATGGAGATTTGTCCATAATAAAAAAAATTGTGCTGCAAATAACAATAAGGTCCCACCGAGATTCGAACTCGGATCGCTGGATTCAGAGTCCAGAGTGCTCACCATTACACCATGGAACCGCGACTAGCCCGCAGCTTCACCGCCATTCACTCCCGCCCCCGCTGTCGGAAAAGAGGCGGAGACACCGCCCAGCCAATGGCGTCGCTGTTCATTTGCATTTCCCGTTCTTTCCTCGCTGGGTCCCATTCAGGGAACAAAAGGAGAGGTTCTTCGGGTGGGCGCGCCCAGGCCGTTGCTTAGGAGAAGTGGGCGGAGCCTTTCCTCCTCGCTCCAGCTTTTCCGACCCCTCCCTTTCCCGGGTCGGGTTAACCCTTGAATTCCCAGGCTGGACTCTGTTGCTTTTGTTTTCTTTCTCCTCTCTGCGAAATAATTCAGGTTTATTTTTTTTAATTCCGATTTTTATCTTTTTTCGCTTCTCCCCTTTTTCTCCCAGGTCCTGGAACGTCGATCCAGCCGGCGGTGGCAGCCCCCAAAAGGTTTGTATTCGGCTGGCTCCGTTTGCAACCTTGGCGGAGCATTGAGGAATGAAAAAAATGCAAGGAGGAGATGGCGGCGGCTGGTTAGTCTCTGGGAGCCGGTCTCGCCTGGTGGTTAAGGCGCACCAGGCTAGAAACTGGGCGACGGTGAGTTCTAGTTCCACCGAAGCACAAAAGCTGGCTGGGGGACTTGGGCCAATCGCCAGGAGACTGTGAGTTCTAGTCCTGCTTTAGGCATGCAAACTAGGTGGGTGGCTTTCAGCTACTCACCAGGAGACGTTGAGTTCTAGTCCTGCTTTAGACATGCAAACTAGGTGGGTGAGTTCTAGTTCCGCCCTAGGCATGAAAACTAGGAGGGCGACTTTGGGCCAATTACCAGGCGACAGTGAGTTCTAGTTCCGCCCTAGGCATGAAAACTAGGAGGGCGACTTTGGGCCAATTACCAGGCGACAGTGAGTTCTAGTTCCGCCCTAGGCATGAAAACTAGGAGGGTGACTTTGGGCCAATCACCAGGTGACAGTGAGTTCTAGTTCCGTCCTAGGCGTGAAAACTAGGAGGGCGACTTTGGGCCAATCACCAGGCGACAGTGAGTTCTAGTTCTGCCTTAGGCATGAAAACTAGGAGGGCGACTTTGGGCCAATCACCAGGTGACAGTGAGTTCTAGTTCTGCCCTAGATGTGAAAACTAGGAGGGTGACTTTGGTCCAATCACCAGGAGACGGTGAGTTCTAGTTCCACCCTAGACAGGAAAGCCAGTTGGGCGACCTTGAACCATCACCAGGAGATGGTGAGTTCTAGTTCCGCCCTAGGCATAAAAACTAGGAGGGTGACTTTGGGCCAATCACCAGGCGACGGTGAGTTCTAGTCCCTTAGGCATGACTGACTGGGTGACTTTGGGCTAGTCAACAGAGGTGGAGATTTCTAGTTCCGTCTTAAGCACGAAAGTCAGTCACCAGGAGACCGTGAGTTCTAGTCCCGTCGTAGGCAAGAAATCCAGTTGGGTGACCTTGAGCCAGTCACCAGGAGACGATGAGTTCTAGTCTCGCTTTAGCCACGAAAGCCGGTTGAGTGGCTTTGGTCTTGTCCCTCTCTCTCAGCCCTACCCACCTCACAGGATTGTTGTTGTGTGTTAGATAGAAAGAGGAAGGACTGTTAAGTATGTTCATCGCTTTAAGCAGTGGATACAAATAATAAAGATGGGATATACATAATAAAAAAATAAATCAGAAAAATAAATAAAATAAAATAAATCTGCAAAATACATCAAGCAATTGCAGTTTCCTGCAATAACTCCAGCAATGTTACAAAAATCTGCGCTACTCGCTATCTTACATTTTAAGTAGGTACCTGGTTGACACCTAGGATGCTGGCAGCAACCCGTGTCAACCATCAGCGCCAGCCAATTTGAATGTTCAGTTGACTGAGGTTCATGTCTAATGAATAAATAATAATAATAATAATAATAATAATAATATAATAATAATAATAATAAAGTAGCAACAATGGTGCATTGGAAAATCTGCAAAAAATATCACTTGCCTGTAAGCAAAAACTGGTGGGATCATAAAATAGAGAAAGTCATAGAAAATGATAAAATTAAACTGCTCTGGGACTTCAGAATTCAAACAGACAAGCACCTGCAACATAACAACCCGGACTTAACAATAATTGTCGATAAGAAAGACAAAAAAAAGTCTGGATAGTGGATGTGGCAGTGCCTGGAGACAGCAGAATAGACGAGAAAGAATCGGAGAAGATCACAAAATACAAAGACATAGAAATAGAAAGACTGTGGCAAAAGCAAGCAAGGGTAGTACCAATAGTCATAGGTGCCTTGGGTGCAATCCCAAAACAACTGGAGCACCACTTGAACACCATCATTGGCATTGACAAATTCGCTATTAGTCAATTGCAAAAGGCGGCCTTACTAGGAACTGCTTCCATCCTGCGACGAGATCTGTAATACCATCAAACGTCCACATCTGCCTATCCCAGGTCCTGGGTAAGGACTCAATAGGTAGGCAAAAATGCCAAATCCAGTCTGAACATCTGGCTGACTGTGCAATGATCAATAATAATAATAATAATATTGGAAGGGACCTTGGAGGTCATTAGTCCATTGGTGGCAAAAATATGGCACGCGTGCCAGAGGCGGCACTCGGAGCCCGCTCTGTGGGTACACGTGCCGTTGCCCCAGCCTCGCCTCCCCCCGCAACCCCCTCTCCAGCAGCCCCCCTGAAGGAGAGTCACCCCTGAGCATGGCCCACCCGCAGCAGCGCAGCCGAGGACATGGCACCCAGGCAGCGTAGATAAGACTCTGCCCTCATGCCCCATCGTGCACAATTGATGCTACAGGGTGCAGGCAAAGGGTGTGGCCGCCATAACGCTGCTGGGCTGCCTGCGGTGAGTGGTCCTGTGGGCAGGCGGGACGGCAGATGGGGGGCAGAGTGGGGGCGGGCAGGGGAGTGGACCGGGGGCAAAGCCAGTTTTGGGCACTCAGTCTCTAAAAGGTTCGCCATCACTGATCTAGTCCAGCCCCCTGCTCAGGCAGGAAACCCTATACATGTGACCGTTTGTCACACTTTACGACCACTGCATCATCCCCAGATTGTAAAATGGGGCAAAACTCGCTGAGCCGCTGCCTTGCTTCGCCACAAACAAATTTGCGTTCAGTTGTGGTTCAATATCTGCATTTCAGTTACTGCATCATTCATTTCTGGCCTTTTAAGAATCTGCGGCTGCATTTGCACAGCACAATTCATGTACAATAGTAGCAACTGTGAGAAGGACCTTGGAGTCCTAGTGGACAATCACTTGAATATGAGCCAGCCGTGTGCTGCAGCTGCCAAAAAGGCCAACACAGTGCTGGGCTGCATTAACAGAGAGATAGAATCAAGATCACGTGAAGTATTAATACCACTCTTCAATGCCTTGGTAAGGCCACACTTGGAATACTGCATCCAGTTTTGGTCACCACGATGTAAAAAAGATGCTGAGACTCTAGAACAGTGGTTCTCAACCTGTGGGTCGGGACCCCATTTGGGGTCGAACGACCATTTCACGGGGGTCGCCAAACAACGCAGTCCGCCATTTTTTTCCCCTTTTCCTTAGCTGTGCTACTCCCTTTTATTCTATTGGCTTTTGAAAGCCAATAGAATAGACTCTCTTGAATAGAGTCTAATTCTATTGGCTTTCAAAAGCCAATAGGAATTGTCCAGGCTGTCTCTGCCCTGCTGAGCCCGCCAAAAGTCCCATTCTGCAAACGGTGCTGCACCAGTTGAGTAGTCCTCGACTTACAACCGGTTGAGTAGTCCTCGACTTACGACCGGTTGGGGGTTGCGGCATTAAAAAGGTTGAGAACCACTGCTCTAGAAAGAGTGCAGAGAAAAGCAATAAAGATGATTAGGGACTGGAGGCTAAAACATACAAAGAACAGTTGCTGGAATTGGGTATGTCTAGTTTAATGAAGAGAAGGACGGGGGGGGGGGAAGGGTAGCAGTCTTCCAGTATATCAGGGGCTGCCCCAAAGAAGAGGGAGTCAAGCTATTCTCCAAAGCGCCTGAAGGCAGGACAAGAAGCAACAGATGGAAACTAATCAAGGAGAGAAGCAACCTAGAACTAAGGAGAAACTTCCTGACAGTGAGAACAATTAACCAGTGGAACTACCTGCCTCCAGAAGCGGTGAATGCTCCAACACTGGAAGTTTTTAAGAAGAGACTGGACAGCCATTTGTCCGAAATGGTATAGGGTTTCCTGCCTGAGCAGGGGGTTGGACTAGATGACCTCCAAGGTGCCTTCCAACTTTATTATTTTTATTATTACAACATTAAGTTAATTTGTCAATTTCACGAGGCCCAGCTAACCAGTTTCCGAGGTTTGTCCCGTGCCTCAAAACTGTAAACCAGCCAAACAGGATGATGGAAACCACAATAAACAAAGAATTAAAGGTTGTTTATTGGCATCTCTCCGAAACAAGCTTCTGGAATGTTGGTCCACGACTGAAAGTGAGTCAAATAATTTCTTTTTAAGAATATGTCTAGCTTGAGTTTGAGTCCGGCTCTTCAAAATTCCAGCTTTTCAAGGGAGAAACTTTAAAGATATCCGAGATCAATTGAAGCCCACATGTATTAAAGCAGGCTGGCTGGGGGATTCTGGGAGTTGAAGTCCACCCGGTACTAAAACATGCTGGTCTGGGAATTCTGGGAGTTGAAATCCACCTATCTTAAAACATGGCTACCTAGGGAATTCTGGGAGTTAAAGTCCACAAGTCATCGAAGGGTCATAGTTCCCTCACGCTGGCTCAGGAATTCTTAAAGCATGGCTGGCTGGGGAATTCTGGGAGTTGAAGTCCACCCATCTTAAAGCATGGGAATTCTGGGAGTTGAAATCTACCTGGTACTAAAACATGCTGGTCTGGGAATTCTGGGAGTTGAAGTCCACCCGGCTTAAACTTTTACAGTTTGAGAGAAACACTGCTTGTAGTGTTTCCTGCTCCAGGCCAATGAAGCAGATTCTAAAAACTGAGCTATCCGAGATCGGGATGAAACAAGCTATGTTTTGACACCACAAAATGTAGAAACCCCCCCCCCCACGAAGCTGGTGTGATGGGAAGTTTGCCGGCTTGGGTGAAAAGGAACCAAACCCTTTTCCTCCATGAGGACTATAAACTCGTCAAGGGAGTGACTGAAGAACTCGAAAAGGATTTCTCAAAGGGGTCAACCACATATACATAAAAGAAAATAAGATTTAGTGCAAATATACTGGGGCGAACACTTCAATACATTGATGGCAGTGTCAGTAATTGCAAAGATTTTTGCTCAAGTGATCATGGCGCTTTGGGTGGAAACGGTGTGTTAGCAATTGAAAATGGAAAGACCAACATTGTAATGTCATCAGATATACCTTTGATGGCTGGGGGATTCTGGGAGTTGGAAGTCCACCCATCTTAAAAGCCGCTGAGGTTGAAAAAAAAAACCCACTGATTTTAACCTACAGTTACAA